ACACACACACACACACACACACACACACACACACTAAAACCCCAAACCAAACCAAGAAAAGAAAGAAAGAAAGAAAAAAAAGAAAGGATCTTAAAGGCACACACATCACTATTTACTATTAGCACAAAATAAAGTACAATGTAATGCCTGGAGTATTGTGGACATAATCTAGGTAGATAGCACATATTAATACTTTACCTATTCACATATTGTCTTTACATTTCCTGCTTGGTTGAGAAAGACCCACTCTTTTTTCATAATACCTAGGTTAAACAACTTCCTTTAAATACAATAGAGACTTGAGCCACCTTTTTAGTTTATATTTCTAGAAAGAATCTGTAAATTTGGGTCTGACAATTAATACTACTAATCAAGATTTGTTGCTCAAATGTGTGTGCGTGAGTGTGTGTGTGTGTGTGTGTGTGTGTGTGTGTGTGGTAGGGGGAGGAGGCTGGCCAGCAAACCTCGGGGATTAGCCTGTCTCCACCTCCCCAGTGAGCCCCCACAGCCACCACCCCAACCCCATCCCCAGTCACCATTGCTCTTTCTGTGGGGGTTGGAGAGAAGGCTCAGCTGCTAAAGTTCTTGCCAAGCATCTTTCATGGCAAGCACTTGAGAGAGTTAGCCATTTCCCCAGCCACCAGTTGTTGCTTTGTAACAAAAGGAGAAAGAGAAGACCCAGGGAGCCTTTGTTCCTCTAAAGTCCCAGGAACCTTGTTTAAGATTTTTCTCAGTCAAATTTTGAAGGAGGAAATCATTTTGGCAGTGGTGGGGGGCGGGGGGTGGGTTTGAAGCTAGAATTTCTGTCATTCCAAAGCATTAAAATGAGAGAACATTTTAGCTAAAAAAATTTTTAATAGCTGTGATGGTATATTAATCTTTGATTCCCTCAGACTCTGGATGTGAGTATTCAAGAGTGTCACGTGAGCAGAGATCTACACGCATGAAAGCTTCATTAATTTTTAACTGGTAATGTGAGATGAGAAGGCTCAGTACTGACCAGCTGTATTTTGAACTCAACTACAGACATGAATTATGTATACACGGAAAATTATTTGAAACAATTTTAGTCTATTATACCCTTGCTTCCTGTTATAATTTTAGATAAATTAGAGTATAGTATAATTATAACCAATTATGTTGTTTCAGTTATCATTTCTAATTGATCCAAGCATTAATACAGGACCCCTGGTGAGAGTCTGTTTCATAATCCTGGTAAAAAGCCAGTGGTTTACTCTTAATGAAGTTCTGTGTTAGATTAAAATGGAGTCCCCTTTGGAGTGTCTTAGAGGACACTTTCTGGATGGATCTTGCCAGTTGGGTGGGTCAAAAGGACTGTCTTTTTGTCTGTTTGTTTTTTCTGAGACAGGGTTTCTCTGTGTAGTCCTGACTCTCCTGGAACTCACTCTGTAGACTAGATCCATCTGCCTCTGCCTCCAGAGTGCCAGGATTAAAGGCTGGCCCACCACCTCCCGGAAAAAGGACTATTTTTTAAGTCAGGGACTGTTACACTTTGGGAGCTGAAAGGAAATTAGGAGGATAAAGACACAACTCACCTCTTTCAATACAAAGGAAATATGATATTCTTTTTTCATCTATCCTTCTAGAATTTGCTTGGATGATAGTGATGTAAAAACCTTTTAAGAATCCTTTCCACTTTGAGAATTCTGACATTTATTTTCTTATTACTTTTGAAACCGAATCTCATACAGCCCAGCTGGCTATGAACTGAGGATGACCTTGAACTTCTGATCTTCCCTCCTCCACCTGCTATGTGCTGGTATTACAGGCGACAGCCACAGGTCTGGATGGAGAATTTTTGCAGCTTTTGTAAACGAAATCGTAGCGAACACTTTGATATTTACGTTCAGGTTGGTTGGCGTGAGTGGGAAAGAGAGAACGAAGATAACCACGTATACGCAATCTAGACGCTGAAGCGGGGTCTCATTAGCAGGAATAACCTGGGAGACCAGGATGTAAACTATTGGTTCTAATGAACACCAATCGGAGGACTGGGTCTAACACACCAAACGCCCCCAAAAAAGACTATGTCGAACACGCCCCGTTCTGCACCGGCTACCTTTAGGGAACCCAGCCTCGGCTACAGCTGGGGCGCCGGCTGATGACGTAACCGGGGCCTGGAGGCGATTGGCTCCCCGAGAGGGGCATCGGCTGCCAACGGGACGCAGAGCCCTCGCTTATCATCGCGATAGCCCGGACCTGGGTGCGGGATGGCCGCGGAGCCGGGTGGAAGTGCTCCGCGGCTCCGGGAGCCGGCTCTCGGGGCCGAGACATGGCCCGGGGCCCCGGCCAGCTAAGTGGGCCTCATCTAGACACTGTCGTCATGCCCAAGAGAGGGAAGCGGCTCAAGTTCCGGGCCCACGACGCCTGCTCGGGCCGAGGTGGGCAAGGGGCGGGGCCGGGTGGCGGGCAGCGGAGGGGGGCTGGGCAGCGGCGTCTGGCGGGGAAAGACTCCACCGGGAGCGGCCGGCCGGGGAGACTTTGCCCGGAGTCTGAGGAGGCCCTGGCGCTGTGCTCTGTTTCAGTGACCGTGGCGGATTATGCCAACTCGGATCCGGCGGTTGTGAGGTCTGGACGGGTCAAGAAAGCCGTGGCCAACGCCGTTCAGCAGGAAGGTAGGTTTTCGTGGATCTCTTTATGCCCAAGCCCTTAAGAGAGCATTAGGTGGTGTGTTTTCCTAGAATTTTGCCCCGATGTTTTTCTTGCAGCCCTTTGGGCATCTGGCCATGAGCGTGTTTGCTCCTCTCACACTTTGCTTTCTCATGTTGGGGGTGGGATGGGTGTGTGTAGCCCTGATGGGCAGATTCTGGAACTGAGATATTTTGTTTCCTCTTTGAATTTAAAAAACAACTTTGTGACCAGATGGGGTAGGCATTCCTTTAACCTCAACGTTGGGGATGCGGAGACAGGTGAATCTCTGTGAGTTCAAAGCTAGCCTGGTTTACACAGCAGTCTACATAGTAAGATCCTGTCTCAAAAGAACAGTCAGCCCACAAAACCACAACAGAATTCCACGAAACTCTGTGTACACATTACTTTCCACGGTCACGTCTTGATACCAGTCCCTCTGTTTTTGTAGTTTATGTATCTTTTACCGTGCACTTGACATCCATTACTTTGGCATATTATTTTCTTTTTGCCACCTTCGTCTTGCTTTCAAGATTTTTGCAGTTGGATCTCTTAGATCTATATTTTATGTCGCATGTCTCCAGTGCAGGGGAATGCTTTAATTGGATCCTGTTTCTCTGAAGCCATTGCTCTTCAGAGTTGAGGTGCATGAGACTAGACGACCTTTTGCTTTTATTGTCTGCAGGGTTCACAGTGTGTGAATTGTGCACCCTTCCCCGAAGTTGGCACTTTGAAGGAGTCAGTTTCTGCTACTTTAGATTGCCAACAATTTGCCAATTGTTTTCCATTTTTTTTAATGGTTATTAAAATGCTACAATTTTGTTTCAGCCTTTGTTATAGGTCCTCAGCATTCTTCAACATTGCCTCTTTCCTCCATGGTTGCTGATACATTGCCTAAGTATTTTTTGAATGGGACCAGGTGCATTTAATTTTTTTCTTTGTTTTCTCCTAGTAAAATCTCTGTGTGGCTTGGAAGCCTCCCAGGTTCCCGCAGAGGAGGCTCTTTCGGGGGTAGGTGAGCCGTGTGACGTCATGGACAGCAGTGACGAGATGGACGCTCAGGAGGAAAGCACTCAGGAAAGATCAGTCTCCAGAAAAAAGAAAAGCAAGAGACACAAAGGTATGGGGCTTGCTTTCCTGAGGACCCGAGCTCTGTCTATGGTGATTGATGCTGTTCTTTCCAATTAAGGGGAGCTCTGAGAGGTGATAATACTACTACTGTACCAGTTATTGTCAGTGATACCCCTCTTTCCCAGGACCCCAAAATTACCTTTATTATACTTTGCTCTTTCTTAATTCTGCTAGGGATGTTTATATATGTGTGTGTATTTATACACACATGTATATACATATATACGTGTATTTTCTTACATCTATATATACACATATATTTCCTTATGTCTGTGTATGTACATGTGTGTACATTTTTGAAATTTTCTAACTTATGCTTTAAAATCTTTAAAGGTTTTTTAAGATACTGAATATGAATTTGTCATTATGTATGTGTGTGTGTGTGCGTCACTTGTATTTTAAAGTATATAACCGAGCAATTTTACTACTTCCTCAGCTGTTCTCCTGTCTTTGAGCTAACTATAGAACATTTCCATCACTGCAAAAAGAATTCCCAAACCGTTAGCATCACTGCTTTGTCCCCACCTGATCTAATGTCATTCTCTGCAGATGGACCTGTTGTAGACATTCCATACAAATGGAACGATAACATGCTCTTTTCGGTCTGATTTCTTTCACATGGCTTAATGTATTTAAGGTTCATCCATATAGAGTATGTACCGACAATTGTTTGTTTGTTTTTTGAGACAGGGTTTCTCTGTGTAGCTCTGGCTGTTTTGGAACTCCCTCTGTAGACCAGGCTGGCCTTGAACTCACAGAGATCTGCTGTCCTCTTTACCTCTTGAGTGCTGGGATTAAAGGCACGTGCCACCACTGCCTGGCCTAACAGTTCATTTTTATTGCCTTGTGTTTGGCTATTTTGCATTGTGAAGCAACTTTAGGGATAAGTTTTGTGTGGGTAAATGGTCTCATTACTAATGGGTAGTAAGTAGGCATGCAGTTTTTGGACAGTGGTACTCTGTGTTTGAGTTTTAAGGAGTCATCAAAATGGCCATATCATTTGATACTTTTAGCAATACCATATGAACATTGTAATATCTCTACATCCTTGCCAACATTTATTATTATTTTACTCATGAAATTATAATGGGTATGAAGTAGTATCTTTAAAAAATACTATTTTTTATTATGTGTGTGTATGAATATTTGTTGTGTTTGCCAGAGACCAGAAGAGAGAGTTAGATTCCCTGTAGCTGAATTTATAGGTGGTTATGAGTGGCTTGATGGGCACTGAGAACCAAACTGGAAGAGTAGGAAGTGTTTTTAACTGCTGAGCTCTCTCTCCAGCCCCTTCATTTAAAAAAAAAAAATGTGTGTGTGTGTGTGTGTGTCTATCTATGTGTCTGTGTATGTATGTTAAATAATTGTGTCTGTATGGGAACCCATGAAGGCCAGAAAGGGTGTCATGTTCTTGGAGCTGGGATTTCAGGCATTTGTCAGTTTCTTGATGTGGTGCTAAAATCATACTGGTTCCCTGAAAGAGCAGTGTCCTGGTTGTGCTTTTTTGTTTTGTTTTGTGTTTGTTTGTTTCTGTCAGCTTGACACAAGGTAGAGTTACTTGGCAAGAGAGAAGCCCTGTTGAGGAAGTGTCCCTACCAGATTGCCACGTGGGCAAGCCTGTGGTGTGTTTTCTTGATGGATGATCAGTTTGGGAAGGCCTGGCCCACCCACCATGAGTGGTGCTACCCTGTCAGATGGTCCTGGCTGATGAAATGGCTCCGCTGGAAAAGGTCCTTGTCCCATGCTGACTGAGTTCAGTCCTTGGGATCGCATCAGGAAGGAGAGAAGTGGCACCCACAAGTTGTCTCTGACCTCAACACACATGCGCGCGCGTGCGCGCGCGCGCACATACACATTCTGTGGCATAAATAATTCAAATGTAATAAAACAAAAGGCAGGCTGAGCGAGCCCTGAAGAGCACATCAGTGAACAGCACTTCTTCATGGCTTCTCTCTCACTTTCTGCCCTGACTCCCTTCCGTGTCGAACTGTGGCCTGAGACTTGTAAGAGGAAATAAACCCTTCCTCTTGATGTTGCTTTTGGTCATGGTGTTCATTTACCACAGCAGTGGAAACCCGAGGATGAGCAGTAAGTGCTCTTCATTTCTGAGCTCTCTCTTCAGCCCGTGTCTGTTTATCTACAGTGTGCTTAGTGGTTTCTTCACCCGGCGGTGGTGGTGGCGCACGCCTTCAATCCCAGCACTCGGGAGGCAGAGGCAGGCGGATCTCTGTGAGTTCAAGGCCAGCCCAGTTTCAGGACAGTCGAGGCTACACAAAGAAACCCTGTCTCAAAAACAAAAACAAAAAACAAAAAGCAAATAATAGTTTCTTCATTTCTGTTGAGGAATTATTGGAGTTGATTGTTAAAATATATGCAGAGGAACTTTAAAAACAGCACTTGGCACCCATTCATGAGGGCATGCGTCCCGATTCCCAGCACTCATGTCAAAAGACAAGTGTGGCAGTGTGGGTGTGTGGCCAGCAGTACTGAGGCAGAGAGAGGATTCCTGGGGCTTGCTGGCCAGCCTCTCTACCTGGTTGGTGAGCTCCAGGTTCAGGGAGAGACCTTGTCTCAAAAAATAAGGTAGAAATGTAATGGAAGGACATGCTCTGGCCTCCACACACATGTGTCCATATACACATGTGTCCACACACAAAAATGTATACATACATGCACATCCACACAACAAAGGCCTTAAGAACATTAATAGAAGATTTTAGCAGCTAGGATTATCAGAAGCCATCAGCCTGAGGGGCTTCCTTGAACCTTTTTAAAAGCCTTTTCTTAAATGTACAAGCTGTGAGAGAACTGAAGGGAATATCTTTGGGTGTATATGTAGAACACAGAACAGTGTTCTTCTTCTGTTTCAGAAGACCTGGACGGGGCCGGAGGAGAAGAGTATCCTATGGACGTTTGGCTGTTGCTGGCCTCCTATATCCGTCCTGAGGACATTGTGAACTTTTCCCTCATCTGTAAGAACGCGTGGACTGTCACTTGCACCGCTGCCTTTTGGACCAGGTTGTACCGAAGGTGCGACCACAGCTGCCACCGTGTTTTCTCTGTAATGAGTGCATTGCTGTTTGTGATTGGAGCTGTGCCCAAGACGATGGGCCCTTCTCACTTCCTTTACTCTATGCCTGGCCATGACCCTAGCTTTGGACTTCTTGATACTTCTCTGAATCTTACGTTACTGATTGTCAAAGGTGATTGTCTTCCCAGTGGCTGCCGCCTTACCCCAGCTAGTATCTGGTTTGTTTTGTTTTGTTTTGTTTTTTTTTGCAAGCAGTATTGCTTCAGGTCCCAGAAAGAACTTTCATTTTCCCCTCAGAGGTATCTTATTACATGGTCAGTAGAAGTACTAGATTTTAATGTGGAGCACAGAGCTGTAGTGGACTTTATACTGTAGAGCTGTGGTGAGGATGGGTACCAAGTTGGCAGGGAATAGAGAATTTGCTGAGGTGTCTGACAGGGAACCCAGTGGCTCTTCTCCAGGACAGCTTCTCTTTGAGCAACTAAAGTACGTTACACTATCATCAGTTAGGAGGCTTGTAATTTTGTAGACCCTGAAATAATCCACATTTAAACCAAAAAAGGTGGAGAACTACAAGGTTACAAGATGAAGAAGGAAAAGCCATCTATAATTTAAGGAGGTGGTGATGGTATTTGTGAGAACTAGGCAAGCTAGTACCCAGCAGCGGAAGAGTGGACCGAAGTTCACATGAAACCAGGAGTCCTGGGGGACTGAGTAAGAGCAGGAGAGACAGGTTACATATTGGTAGGAGTCATGTGTCATGTTTCAGGCACTACACGCTGGATGCTTCTTTGCCTTTGCGGCTGCGACCAGAGTCCATGGAGAAGCTGCGCTGTCTCCGGGCATGTGTGATCCGATCTCTGTACCATATGTATGAACCATTTGCTGCTCGAATCTCCAAGAATCCAGCCATTCCAGAAAGCACTCCCAGCACACTAAAGAATTCCAAAGTAAGTGAAAATTGCTGTCGGGGTTTGGCTAATGGACTCTTGTCTGGTGGGCCTCTTCCAATGGCTTGTATGTAGCTTCTTGATGGGGAGGGCTGTTGGCCCCAACCCATTGGGGGGCTAATATAAACTTGCAGGATTCAGAAGTTTCATTTCTCCCAACACATTTCTGCTGTTCTGGGCTGGTTTATGCTATCCTTTCTTTAAAGCTTTCTTTTGCTTTTAGTGTATTTCTTAGTCTCTAACTTCTTTTTATGCACTGTACTTTTGACCAGTGTAGATGGAATGGTTTTGATAGTTTGGCCTAGGAGGGGTAGGTGTATTTGAATGGTGGGTGTATATACAGTTTTCACAAAAGTGCTTAGTCATGACTCAATGAGCATGAGCAACTCAACCGATTTCCTGTTTCTAAAGTAACCTTGGCATCTGAGATTTCACTTCACTCTTGACTTCCTTTAAGGATTCTGGTATAGTCGTCTTTACTTGGTAAGCCCCATGCCAGGCTCTTGCCAGGCTCTGTGGTGATTTGTCTCAGAGACTATAAGGTACTCCAATTCATGGATCTTAGGATTCCCAAATCTTCCTATGTTTTAGTCTGCTTTTATCTTACAATTCTCTGCATAGTTTACATTCCTACACTGTATTCATGTTTCTGGTATCCTGAATAATAAGTAGGTCTATTGGTCCTTGGCCCATTTCTCCTCGCTGGTGAACACCTTTACCAAGGTAGATGAATGTAGTCTTGGTTATTTAGGCAAGTTGATGTCTTAGCCTTTGTCTTACTCAACTGATACTGTGTAATTTGCTTATCTTTTGAATTTGTAGGTAATTATTACAACTCTACCCACTCCAGTCCGTTCTGTAGCACTTCCTGTTCTCTTGTACTTTATGCTCATAGACGTTATATGATTCTTCTCTCCTAGTTGAGCTCTAAGGTTATATTAATTCCAGGAAGTAAAAGGGACTATTGATTTCAAGGTAACCAAGATCCCCTCTGCAACACTTACCAATGGAGGTCATCCGGACCTAAGTCTGTTTCATAGAATGCTAGCTGATGGATTTAGGGCAGGAGTAGTGTGCTGCATGAGTAGACTTTCACCCTGAAGCTGCTTCTGCCTGTAATGTGAGTGGACAGTATCCCATCTCACGTTTGCAGTGTCTTCCTCCCCAGGAGCATTTACTACTATCCATCCGATTAACTACCAGGAGAGTGGTAATCGTGACAGAGTTAACCATGCCAGGTATGGAATAGGGCAGCATTGACTGGGCAAACTCCTCATGCTTGACACATCTTAGCGGCTCCAGTGCACAATGCAAGGGCTACTGCTCAAGTTCGAAACTACCCATATCTTTATATTCCTATTACTGTGTCTTTTTAAAAAGTAGATTATGAAGCCAAAGTGGATTGAAAAAATAAGCTCTTACTCCAGGCAGTGAGCACAGGCTATCTGGCAGCCTCTTTTTGTCTTGGTAGAGATCCTCTGAAGAGGATATGGGTCCTGTAGTGGCAGATGCCTGGTGCATGGCCTCACCACTTACATGCCTGTAACGGCATGGCACTCAGTTGCCAGCATGCCTAAAGGAAGTTGTCCCATTTCCCGGACGCCAGCTTTTTGTATTTGATCCCTCTCTCTCTTTTCAGTAGCATAGCTTGTGTGGGACACTGGAGCCGTTGTGATGGCAGCCGAAGTGTTTTCCCCTAAAAGCCAAGCCCATTATTTTTGGTGGAGCAGCAGGACGTACAGGGCATGTCTGGAGGCAGGACAGCTGGCACGGCGGACGACCCACCCCCTGTGCCCTGGGAGGTACTTCACTTCTTGTGCTTAACCCTAGCTGTAGCCTGACTTCCTTCATTGAGGGGCTTGCTTTAGACTGAATTCAGCTTAGCTCATTGGTTTCCATAACAGCTGTCTGTTTCCAGAAGGTCCTGAGTGGCTTGTTCCTGTTATAGGGCCAGCCCTCCTTGCCTGCTTTGTGGCCTTGTTAACCATCTTGCCTGGTGGCTACTTGCTGCCTTTATATTTTAATGAAGAGCAGTGGCTGCTGAATCAGAGAAATGCCCTGCACTGTCGAGACATACTTCTGTCTTTAAAGAGGAGAATATAGGGTTGGTCTTAGCAAGCCTCCGAGGTTGACTTGTATTGGTCCCTCTCCTCCTTTGGTAGCACTGTGACCGTCTTCATGGGGCACTGGTGTCAAGTTGGCCTGTGCACCCAAGCCGGTCCTCCGCATCACAGCTGTACTTGGCTTTAGCGCTGTCAGAGATAGTTTTGCTTACTAATTTTTTTTTTGTTACTTAATAATGTGTTTTAATGTCATTCCCATAGTTTATTTTTTCTTTTTTTACAGTGCTTACTTTTCTGGTGCAGAAAGATTGTTGGGAACAGACAAGAACCAATGTGGGAGTTCAACTTCAAGTTCAAAAAACAGGCATGTGTTCTTCTTTTTGTCTCTATATTTTTATAGATTTAATTTTTTTTTTAAGATTGTTTATTAGGGCTGGGTGGCTCAGGGTAAGAGAGTTTTGCATTTATAGAGGACTTAAGTTCTAGGGCATCTGATACCCTCTTCTGGCCTTTTAGGGCACTATACTCATATGTTCAAACCACTATCCACACCCACTTAAAATTAAGAGTTTTTTATTTTTATGAGGTTTTTTTGTTTGTTTGTTTTTTGTTTTGTTTTGTTTGAGACACAGTCTATGTATCTACATATCCCTGGCTGTCTTGACACTTGGCCATGTAGACCAGACTGGCCTCAGACTAGAGGGATCTGCCTGCTTCCCTTGCTCAAGTGCTCAGATTACAGGCGTGCACCATGTCTGGCTTGTCTTGTGGGTGTTTTGCCTGCATGGATCCATTGCACTGTGTATTCCTGGTACTTGTGTTGGCCAGAAGAAGGGGTCACATTCCCTGGAATTGGAGTTATGGGCAGTTGTTAGTCTCCTTGTGGGTACTGGGAACCAAACCTGAGTCCCTTTCAAGAATAGTAAGGGCTCTTAGCTGCTGAGACATCGCTGCATCCCTTCAGATACCTTATTTAATGAGTTTCACCATGTCTTAATCCTTTTGTGCTGCCATAACAAAGTACCAGAGATTGGGTTAGTTATAAAGAATAGAAATTAATTTCCTCATAGTTCTGGAGGCCAGGAAATCCAGGATTAAGGTACTTGCATGTTCTGTGATGAGGCTCTGGTCCTTCTGTTTTCAAGATGGTGCCTCATTGTACCTTGTGTGTTCTCACATAGCTGTGGTGGAAGGCTAAAAGGGCCTGAATCCATTTTAAAGCCCTCCTACCTTTTTTTTTTTCTTTCTTTCTTTTTTTTTTTTTTTTTGAGACAGGATTTCTCTGTGTAGCCTTGGCTGTCCTAGAACTCACTCTGTAGACCAGACTGGCCTCGAACTCTCAGAGATCCACCTGCCTCTGCCTCCCAAGTACTGGGATTTTTAATAAGAGCCTTTGTCTCATTCATGAGAGAGGAGTCCTTATGACATCATTACCTTCTAAAGGCTCCATTTCTTATATGACAGTAGATTAAATTTCAAAATAAATTTGAGGGAACTCTTATTTTCAGTTACTTGAAACAGGGTTTGTTTGTGTAACCCTGGCTGTCCTAGAACTCTCTTTATAGTCAAGGCTGGCTTCTAACTCACAGAGATCCACCTGCCTCTTCTTGAGTTCTGGGATTAAAGTGTTGGCCACCATGCCTGGTGGGAACTATTTTATATTGGAGGAAAAAAAAGAATAACAACTTTGGGTTGTTACCCAAGATAAACCTTGACAGATTCACAGATCAGAGAACAGAGCTATAAAAGATGTATGTGTGTGTGTGTGTGTGTGTGTAAATGTAGCTCAGTAGATAAAACACTTGTCACAAGCGTGAGGATCTGACTTTGGCTCCCCAAAACTCACATAAAAACTGATGTGGTGGTTTGCTTCCATAAGCTCAGTGCTGGGCAGGTGGAAATGGGCAGAATGCTGGAGCTCACTGGCTTCCACGTGCACTTGCACACACATCTATCCTCACACATCCCACCCCTACTTTTATCCACTTTTTGTGGGCAGCTAAGGAATATTACATACGCATAGTATCTTAGTCAGTGTTCTATTGCTATGAAGAGACACCATGACATTGGCAATTCTTATAAAAGAAAGCATTTGATTGGGGCTTGCTTACAGCTTCAGAGGTTTAATCTATTATCATCATGATGGGAAGCATGGTAGCATGCAGACAGACATCATGCTGGAGAAGTACAGAGAGTTCTACATCTGGATCTCAGGCAGAAGGAAGAGAGAGACACTAAGCCTGGCTTTGGCTTTTGAAACCTCAAAGCCCACCCCCAGTACCTTAGTTAGGGTTTTTATTGCTGTGAAGAGGCACCATGACCATGGCAACTCATAAAGAAAATATGTAATAGGGGTGGCTCACTTACAGTTTCCGAAGTTCAGTCCGTTATCATCTTGATGGGGAGCATCGTGACATACAGGCAGATTCGGTGCTAGAGCTAAGAGTGGTACATCTTGCAGGCAACAGGAAGTCAACTGACACACTGGGCAGTATTCTGAGCCTAGGAAACTTCAAAGCCCACCCCCACAGTGACACACTTCCTCCAACAAGGCCACACCTCCTAATACTGCCACTCCCTATGAGATTACGGGGCCAGTTACATCCAAACTACCATACCCAGTGACACACTTCCTCCAACAAGGCCATACCCACTTCAATAAAGCCACACCTCCTAACCCCTCCCAAGTAGTGAGTGCTACTCCCTGATGACCAAGCCTCCTGAGTACTGGGATTAAAGGCATGCGTAATTATAATTTAAAAAACAAAACAAAAGGAGAGGAAGGGAGGAAGATAAATCATGGCAAAATATTCAGTGGTTGAGTGTGTATATAAGAGCTTTTTATGTGTGTAAATATTTAAAAGTTAGGAAAAGGGGGAGCATTTTAGTTATGTACTGAAATTATTTACATACCCTTTTGGTCAAACATTTAAGATAGTTGGGCTAGTGAGATGGTTCAGCAAGTTTCTCTGGGTAGCCTTGGCTGTCCTGGAAGTCACTCTGTAGACCAGGCTGGCCTTGAACTCGGAGATCTGCCTGCCTCTGTCTCCGAGTGAAGGTGTGTGCCAGCGCAGCCCGACTACTTGTCCTTCTCTTGATGACAGGCACGGCAGCACTTTCACTGCTGGGCCGTCTTGCTAGCCCCACAGAGTTTTTACTAAAGTTGGGCATCGTACTTCCCTCTTCATTTATTTCTAAAAGCATGGTTCTTGTGAAGAAATCTGACTCCATGTCTTTGTAAGGAACTCGCAGTCTGTGATGTCAGCTAGACCCCTCTGCACTAAGGGGAGCCCTAGCAGTGGAGGAATGGGACAGGAGACTCGAGTTACTGCAGGGAGTGGGATGCTGAGAGCTCCTTTAGTCCTGAGACTGCTGAATCCTGTCCCAGGCTTCCTGGAATCTGGAGGTCGATTCTGCATCTGCCCCTTTTCTGCAGCAGATACTCTTGAAGCCTGACAAATCCCATGGAATTTGCAGTTCTTCAAACATTGGAGAATGGCTGCTAGAGCCACTTACTGCCTGGTGATGGAAATATTATCTAACTGAAATGCAAACCCATGGCTGCATTTACTAACGTAAACATGCTCTTTCCCCTTTCTTAACAGGTAGATTGTCTTTGATCTCTGCATAGAAACCAGTATGAGTACAAAGAGGAGATGACAGAAACTTTTACCTTACTAACTTTAGTTTACCTATTGGACTTTCCCCCACAGCATTCAAGAGCACACATCTTTCCTCTGACCCTCTAGATTAATACTTAGTCCTCCTCAGTCCCCTAGATTAAAGAGCAAGTGTACAGAACGGTTGCAACCACCCATTCAATATGAGGATGTTCACACCAACCCTGACCAGGACTGCTGCCTGCTGCAGGTCACCACCCTCAATTTCATCTTTATTCCTATTGTCATGGGGATGATATTTACCTTGGTAAGTGGGGATTCAGCTCCTCTATAGATTCGCATTGTATTTGGAGTTTGAAAAAGGATTTGTAGATTTAACTATTCAGAAGAAATCTCTGAAGAATAATAAAGCCCCAAATTAAAACCAGAATAATACATGGTCGTACCCCTTCTCCCCCATCAACTGGCTGCACACAACCAAAGCCAAAATAAAACCCACAAAAGAAAAAAGACAAAACACTTCCCAGATAAAAACAAAACAAAGTCTGAAATCAGATTTGCATATTAGAAAGACAGACAGATATGGGGAGAAGGTAATTATATCTGAGGATGTTTTGCCTGTCTCCTCTGTAAGCAAAGGAAGGCTTTCGCATCTTCCTGTATGTGCAGTGATGGTGTCCTGAGGGGAACACTGGGAAACACACACATGAGCACTGTCAGGACCTGGGGCGTTCATGTGCTGCCATAATGGAGTATTAAACTGGAGGAGAACCAGCTCTGTCCTTGTGTAATGCTCTGATTCTTCAGAACGTGGCCAGTAGTTAAAGGAGTAAATAATATATGTGCCTGTAGCTTATACTTTGCATGTTTTAAAAATACTTATTTGGTTAGGCATCCAGAAAGTTCATGTTCTTTGCCATTTGTCCTCTGTGTGCCTTAGGCTTGTGTTCAGAGATGTGTGGAGTTCCTCTCTATAATGAAAAAACTTAATTTTTTAATGATAGATAATGTGTGTATCATGAAGAATTTAAATAATGGATAAATTTATTGAGAAAGTAGAGTTGACTCAGCCTGCCACTCTCCTGTAACTACAGTTAACCTTCTGGAGATTGTTTCTTTTTTTTTTTGTAATTTTTTTATTCATTTTACATTTACCAACCACAGATCCCCCTCTCATGCCTTCTTCCACTCCCCCCCACCCCCTTCTCCAACAAGGTAAATTCTCCCATGGGGGGACAGCTAAGCCTGATACATTCAGTTGAGGCAGGTCCAAGCCCCTCCCCGCTGCATCAAGGATGAGCAAGATGTCCCACCGTAGGTAATGGGATCCAGAAAGCCAGCTCATGCACCAGGGATAGATCCTGATCACATTGCTGGGGCCCCTCAAACAGACCCAGTTGTACAACTGTCTCCCACGTGCAGAGGGTCTAGTCTGGTCCCAGGCAGGTTCCACAGCTGTCAGTCTAAAGTTTGTGAGTTCCTTTGAGCTTGGTTCAGTTATCTCTGTAGACTTCCCCATCATGATCTTCACGCCGCCCCCCCCCCCACCCCCGCTCATATAATCCCTCTTCCATCTCTTGGCTGTGGATCTCTGCATCTGTTTCCATCAGTTACTGGATGAAGGCTCTATGATGACAGTTAGGGTATTCACCAATCTGATTACCAGGGTAGGCCAGTTCAGACACCCTCATCACTATTGCTAGTAGTCTAGTCTGAGGTTGTCCTTAAGGATTCCTGGGAATTTCCCTAGCTCCAGGTTTCTCCCTTATTCTCCCTTACCGCATGATGTCTCCCTCTATCAAGATCTCTTCTTCATTGTTCTCCCACTCCATCCCTCCCCCAACTCGACCATCCTGTTCTCTCATGTTGTCATCCCCCATCCCCTCCCCTCTTTTGCCCCCCCCCCCCCTTATCCCCAGTTTACTCATGGAGATCTCCTGCTTCTCCTTCCCAAGGTGATCTGTACATTCCTCTTAGGGTCCTCCTTGTTTTCTAGCTTCTCTGGAGCTGTGGGTTGTAGTCTGAATATCCTTTGCTTTACATTTAGTATCTGGGTTTCTCAAGTGTGTCTGTTTATATGTTCAAGTAATTACCCTCTTGTAGTTAATTTTCTGTAGTTGAAATTGTGTCATAATACTATTTTTATCATAGGCACCTCTCCCTCCTTTCATGTTAAGCCAAATTAATGATCTTGCTGTTATTCATATTCCATATATGTCATACTAATTCTGTATAAGCCTACATATAAATATTTGGAGTTTTTTTTTTTTTTTGGTTTATTTTACAAAAAAATGGGGTCAGGCTTAGGTTTCATGTATTAAGTTTCGTGCTTGACTTGTTCATCAGTATCTTATCAGAATTCTATCTTTATCCTATATGTATAACACAATTAAATGGCTTTTGTGATAGAGTGTGTGCACTGATCTTAAGTTATTTGTCTGTAAGGCCCTTTAACATGTTAGATACATAAAGCATAAAAACCCTTATAAAAATCACCCTGAACCTTTTATGTCTTTACAAATGTATTGGTATCATAACTTAAGAGATGAACCTTGAGACTGAACTAAGGTGTATTATGTGTAGAGCAGTCAAGGAGAGCACAAAGAAACCAAGGTTAAATTAAATACTACACACATTTAAACTTAACTTAAACGCTGAATGTGCCTTTCTCTTGTAGTTTACTATTAATGTGAGTACAGACATGCGGCATCACCGAGTGAGATTGGTGTTCCAAGACTCTCCTGTCCGTGGTGGTCAGAATCTGCGCAGTGAACAGGGTGTGCAAGTCGTCCTGGACCCAGTCCACAGTGTCCGGCTCTTTGACTGGTGGCATCCGCAGTATCCGTTCTCCCTGAGAGCATAGTTGCTGCTTCCCATCCCTTGGGACAGCTTCCAGTCCAGTCCCTTAGTAATCAGATGCTGTTTGGAGGGGCAGCTGGATTGTATATCTGATCAGTGATGCACATGCTGTTTGGGTTCCTGGGGCTCCTGTTACAGGAGGTGGGAAGGTTGAATCAAGAGGAAAGCCAGCTATGATTTATATACATTTTAATGTAAACTTTGCATATTTGAAAGGAGAAACCTGGCCTCGTTTTCTGTGTTAAACCCCAATTGGTGCTGTTGAGTTGGTTTATTCTTTCATCTCAACAAAAATGGTTGATCTTGTGCTAGGGAGAAATTAAACTCTGACTATTCAAGCAAGGAAGTTTTCCCTGTGGATCAGAGGAACCCAGAGGTTTAAAATGGTTGCTCCATTGTTGCTGCTCCTCAAATTCAAGTGAATATTTTTTTCTTTTCCCTTTACCCTTCTCCAGAAATAAAGCAGGTGACAGGGTTGTCAGAATCTTACGAGATTGACTTGTGCATCTTTTAAAAAAAATGCTTTTCGGATATTTATTACATGAATATTGATTGTTTTGCTGATTTTGTATTTTGGGTTTTTGTTTTATTGCATGAGACTGATAGTGATGGTAATGATTATGTGCCCCTGGTACTGTTCTAAGAACTTTATACATTGTGTCTCTGATCCTTGTGTCTTCCCATTCTATGGTTGAGAAGCTGAATCATTGACTTACCCAAGGCCAGAACTGCTGGTACATGCAGAGCTAGGATTCTGACCCGTGTCTTTTTTGCTGTACCACAACTTCAAAGGCAGTCATTTTTCTTGTGGTACATAGTGGTAAAAAGGAGTAAAAGAATGAGTTAGTTTGAATCTTTCAGATAGATATGCATTAACTGAAAGGTAAAACAAAAGAGTGTAGGAAGAATTGTGATGTTTGTTAGAAAGCCTTTATTATGCTAACGGTCATTTTCAAAAAATGCATTGCATGTTGAAAACAGCCTTAAACTGGAAGCAATTTAGTGGCTTTTCTCTGCCCTGTCCTGTGCTTTGCAACCTTTGTTTTTCTTTTTTAAAATCATCCTGTGTACTTTGATGAGCCTGTCTTCTGTCATACAGAAACGTTGACACCCTCCTTTGGTCAAAGTTCTGACTGTCACTGGCATGCTCTGAGAAAAGGATCATGGGTGGGCTTTTTGTTTATTCTTTTGCTAAGAAGCAACCTTTGTTGTCTCCTCTCCCCCTGGATGTGGCAAGAGGTAGGCAGTAAGACAGTATTCTTATACTCAGGTCTTGAGTCCAGCCCCTAGCACCACAGTCCAGCCTCCCTGCCCCACAAAAAGGAGTCTTCTTGAGACAGGTCTTGCTGTGTAGCTAGCCCAGGCTGGCCTTGAACTTAATCCTCTTTCTTTAGCCACCTGGAGTGTTGGGATTATAAGTGTGAGTCACCAGACACGACAAAGACAATATTCTTTAAACTGAAAAATATTGTGAGGTAGATACTTTTGTGAGCTAAACTGCTAAGTTAGTATGTTGGTTTTTTATCACTCTCATTACCCCATGCTATTTAAAGAAGATTCTTGAGAAGCGTCTGTTAGTACTGCTGCTGACTGCTAGCCTTGCCCCACACTCAGAGGAATACTAACGTTGAACAGAAAGTGAGACTGGGTCAGTTAGAAAAAAAACAGCAAAACCGACAACCAGAATTTGGGTCCTAAATTAACAAAAGCAAGAAACCCAAGGACAGTGAGCCCTCCACAGATCTCTGCAATCAAAAGTTGTCTCTTTGAAGCGGAAGAAAAGAAGCACAGTTTGGAGTTCCCTGAACAACGATGCCCCGGAGCCGGGGGACGTTGTCCTTGAGGGTGTGTGTCTCCCATTTAGATTACTTAAGGGGTGAAATAAATGTGGCTTAATAATTGTTTTCTGGCTCAACTTCTGAGTTTTTGTGCCAAACTCCTTGGTATGATGATAGATACTATATTCTGCCTTTGAAGTTACTGCCTCTGCTGTGTTCTTAACACATTGCCAACACTTGGTAAAATGATTCTTCATGGTTACCATGGCTTCAGTCTTCCTCAGCATTGGCTTTTTCTGGCATTATTCATGCTTTGTTAATGAAGGGATCTGGAGAGTCTCAAGGATTGCCTTTTGGTAAGCACTAGACCATCTGGAGAACAACTGGAACTTTGTAGACTCTAGGTTTAAAAACTAGTACTTTTCACTTCTTGAAATGTATATGTATATTTATACACACACATATACATATACATACATATATATGGTATATACGTTCTTGTTCAGAAGGTCAAAAAAATAATACAAATTTAGCTTCTCCCAAGCCCCATCGGAATTAATTTCCTTGCCTTTCTCTAAAGATGCAAAGAATATGTTGACTATATTGGGAGAAAATGAATGAAAGGCTGTGTTAATTGAGCTCAGCTAATGGCCTCTACAGGATGCTGCTGTTACAGGATGATATGCATAGAACTGTAACTGCACATTGCAGGAAAAGAACAGTTCTTCGATGCTGAGCGGTGGTGGCTCACACCTTTAATCCCGGCACTCGGGAGGCAGAGACACAGACAGGTGGATCTCAGTTCGGGCCAGCCTGGTGTACGGAACGAGTTCCAGGACAGCCGGGGCTACACAGAAACCCTGTCTCGAAAAACCAAAAAAGAAAAAACCCAAAAACCTCACCAGTTTTTCACACTTACAGCACTGTTTATGGGGTATTTGTAAAGGATTTGTGTAGGCACTGTAATGAAACTTAACAGGCCAGATGGGAAAGATACAGTAATAGCCACGGGGGCAGGGAAAGGGAGCAATTCAGGAAAATAGGTTTAGCTAAAATTTGTCAGAATTTTGGCATATGAGCATGTTTTCATAGGATGTATGTATCATAGACAAACACTTCATTTTATAGTAACAGTGTTAGGACAGTCACATGCCTAAAAGCAAGTCACACTTGACTGAAGCACATGCTATAAGAAGAGTATGAGGGTTTCCAGTTTCTCCTTTTAAAGTGTGTGGGAGAGAACAGGTGTGAAAGATGACAGACGACTGGCCACTTAGGAGCCAGGTTAGACTTGAAGCGGGTAGGATGCACTCTGCCTTCCCAGTCCTAAGGCCTAAACACCTACCAGATTCAATGCTGGCCCTGCCCTCTCAGACCCAACCAAGATGGCGCACAGCATCAAAGCAGCGCCCTTGTCACGTGTGAACCGGGTCTAGGGAGCGCCCGGGTGTGGGGGGCGTGGCCTCGGGAGAGGCGGCCAGGCCCCGCCCTTGGGGGGTGGGGCCGGGGTATCCGCGGAGGAAGGGGGCGGGTCCTAGAGGCCGGGTCCTGGGCGGCGGAGGCTGCAGCTACCTTTGCGCGCTTGCCTCTAGGACGCCTGGCGCTGCCGAGGTCGGGGGCGGCGCCCTGCTGCCGCTGGGCCTTCGGCGATTCCACGCAGGTGAGCGCCCACAGCCCACTCCGCGGGAAAGGATTCCCCTCTCCCCAGCTCCAGCTCCCCTGCACAGTTTGAGGAGGAGTCTCTGTTAGTGCGCCTTGGGAAACAGCCTCTTCTGGTCTGGATGTGTCTCTGCGGGGCGCGGGTTTCGTCGCCCCTCGCCTTTGCTGTGCCCTGTGCCCTTGGGGATGAGGATGGGGGACGATGCCCGTTTTGCAGGGAGGGTGTAGAGTTCGCCCTCCGCTCCATCGGCTTCCTGGGAGGGGGCAGCCGTGTGGACTGCGCCCCCACATCCTCTCCAGGAGTCAGAGCAAAAGCGCCTCTGGGCTTGGGGGCCAACTCTGCTCCTTTGGGCGAGCGCTTGTGAGAGGCTGAGGTCTTGGTTCTTCCCGGGGGTCTTCATCCTTCCCGCGTGCCTCTTTACGCCCTTGGGTACTATCGTCAGCTCTGCATTCCTGGAACTGTCAGGGTGTCAGGCCATACCAGAGATGCCCCCCATCTCCGCAGTGCTGGGGCGGTGGGGTGGAAGGAATGGCCAGCCCGAGGAGGCCTGGGTGGGGGTGGGGATGAGGGTGGGCGCAACAGGAAAAGACGTTCGTAATAGAGATTCCTGAACTGGTGTGGGGTGGGGGTGCGGGGCCGGTTCGTGAACACAGTAGGGGTATTTCCCGGCACGGATGTTGAGGGTTTTATGGTGGGTATAGAAGGGAGGTCGGGCTGGAGGACTTGGAAATGTGTTGTAGGTGGTTTCTCTGAGAAGGAGGAGCGATCTAGGACTAAGTGCCACTAGGTGCTGATGTCACCTTTGAAGAGAGATGTGCTGGAGAGGAGGAGAGTTGAGGCAGCTCTTCAGTACTTGTTCGTGGACAGCAAGTGGTTAAGGGGGCTGTGCTTAGCCTGACGATTCCCTCCTGGTGTGAGCTTGAGGAGGCTCCTCGAGGAGCCAGGTTTCAGGGACTCCCTGCAGTCCTTTCCAGAGTTGTTGGGATTGACATTTGGTACTTTGTTCAATATTGAGGAAACATTTATTGGGCACCTACTACGTGCCAGGCACCATGCTAGCTACTTGGTCATCTAAAAGCAGTTTAGGGCCATGGAGCAGATAAACGGTACCTGAAGTAGGCACGAGTATTAGGCACCACCCTCCTATATATGATTTAGTTACATTGCTAGCGGACTGGCCAAAAAAAAAAAAAAAAAGACCCCAACGGGATTTCAACCCACAGAATCCCCATCACGGTTAACTGGCCATACAGTCTTTAGTAAAAATGACAGCTTGAATGATTTTCATTGGCTCTTTTCTTAGATTTTGTGCTAAGATCTGAGGAGGCGTCCCAAGATGAATGATGTCTCCAAGTAATGAGATGAGGGGTAGCACATTGGCTGTCAGGGCTGCGGCGGCCTTGGACGCTGTGTAGTGGGAGACCCCCATCTCCGGAAAATGAGTGGGTATGGGAGGCTGCTGTGGGGGAGTTGTCATCTGGAGGTGTTTGGGCCTGTGCTGCTGAGCATGTCATGGTGTCAGTACGTGAGCTCTGCCCCAGCAGCTGGCTAGTAAAGGAGGGGTGGAGGGGGCAGAGCAGGGACAGGGCAGGCTCCCGGGTCCCCTCGGAGTCGATGGTTGAGATCTTAGCCTTGGGAAGAGTTATGAGGTTTGCCGTGGGACCTTTCTGAGCCTCTGAGGATAGTAAGGCTAGAGCGGGGGGGGGGGGAGATGGGTAGTTGGGCTGGGGTGGTGATGAGGTGAGGGGAAGGGTCAGGAGGGCCAGGGAGCTGGGTGCCAAAGGGGCTTGAAAGTATAGGGAAGTTAGCCGAGGCCTTGTTATGCCAGAAATACTCCCCCCCTGGGCCTCAAAGAGCTGTATTGTACAAAGTTGGCAGAGGATTGGCTCTATGAACAAGGTGTGCTGTGCTGACTGAGCAGTGTAGAGAGGTTGTGTGTGTGTGTGTACACATGCATGGCGTGCATGTGTGTGTTGGTGCAAATGTGTGTGCTGGAAATGAGGAGTAAGAAAGACTGAGAGAGAAAAATCTGCCCCAGAGTCTGGGTCCTACATAAGGAACTGGAAGAAATGGAGGAGCGGGAGTGGGGTCAGAGGGAGAGAGAAGTGTGTATTGCAACCACAGAAGTCACCATCTGTCCCCCACCCCCACCCCCCGGCCTGCTAGCTCACTGACCTATAATTAGCTCTGGAGGGCATACGATGCTGGCTCACAGGAGTGTGGCACTTGGGGTGACCAACAGGCAGAAGGACACTCTGAGCGAGGGGCTGTGGTCCTACGCTGAGGACCCAGGACCACGACCCGTCTGAATTCTGCAGTCTGAGACGGGCTTTGTATTGCTGGCCCGTGGGAAGGGGCCTTAGGGAGCTGGGAATGTCAGTGAGGTACAGGTGGCGGAGGAGACAGCGGTGGCGGGCGAGGGGCCCTAAGGGAGGGTTATGTGAGGCTTGAGGCCGGCAGGCACTAAGGACTTTCCTTCTGTCCACCCCTGGCTGCTGCCTCACCATACCAACGGGACTGCTGCCTGGGTTAGTGCTCTCCTTGCAGATGGGCTGAGGTCCTGTAGCATGGGGGCTTCCTTCACGCTTTTTCTGCTCTCCCAGGAGAAGTCAGTTCTAGCACAGGGTAGCTATGTGTCTTTCAGTTGGGGACTGAGAGGCCTTGGCTTGGGGTCACTTCCTCTGAGAGCTTCAGTTGCTCATATTCCAGGTGGTGCTTAGCACTGACCCCAGGCTAGACCAGAGGCTGGTCAAATGCTGCTCTGTACAGATATTCTTCCCAAAAGATATATCTTACAAGATTCCTCTATCTGTAACAGTGCTCTTTGAGTGAGTATTGAATTGAATTGAAGTCCTTGGTCTTCTGGTCCCCTGGGTTCTATGAAGCAGGACCTCCTTGCAATTAAGATATTTAACCTGCATCAGAGAAGTGCTGGACACAGTACCATATTGTTACATTCCATTGGGTGAATTGGCAGTAGATAGCATGGAAATCCTTAAATCTGTCATAAAGCAGAGTATTTAGGTTTAGGTTTATGACCTTGAATGATACAACAAATGTATAGATTTAGTGCATCTTTTATATACATGTTTTATTAATTATAGAACTATGTGACCTGTTATTGTATGGCACTCAAATACTTTCTAAAAGTTTTAAAATTTTTAATTTAATGTGTATGGGTGCTTTGCTTCTAAGTATTACTGTGCCAGGTGTGTCCCTGGTGCCTGTGGAAGCAGAAGGCATTGGATCCGCCAGAACCGGAGTTAGAGACAGTTGTTAGCCACATGTGGATGCTGGGACTCAAACCCTGGGTCCTCTGGAAGAGCAGCCAATGTTTTTAACCACTGAGCCATCTCTCCATCCTCCTGAAATGTATGTATGCATACATACATACATACGTATTTATTTATTTATTTGTTTGTTTGTCTATGTATTTATGACAAGGCCTCTCTACATAGCTCTGGCT